CGCACACACACGTAAGCGTAAAACAAAGATGGAAAAGGGTGCCTGGCACAGCAGCACACGCCTTTAATCCCAGCACTCCCAAGGCAGAGGCAGGCGGATCTCTGAGTTTGAGGCTAGCCTGCTCTACAGAGTTCCAGGACAGCTAATTGACGTAAGTTGACAAGACAGGTCAGTAAAGTTATGACTATACAAAGAGTGTTTTTGTTTTATTGAGATAGTCTATGTACCCTGGCTGGTCTAGAACTTTCTATGTAGGGCATGTATTCAAAAACCATATAGATATTTGCTGTTATATACAAGGGAAACCAGGAAAACAATCACATTAGAACAGGGACAGGAGGGGCTGGAGAGATGGCTCCAAGAGTGGGAGCGTTTGTTGCTCTTGGAAAGGAAATGAGTTTGGTTCCCTGAATTCATACCGGCTGCCTCACAGCTGTCTTTAACTCCATCTACAAGCTGTCTGATCTCTACAGATACCTGCAGTTCTTTACATAATTCCACACATTTAAAAACAAAAAAACAAACAAAAAAACAAGCCAGGCACAGTGGCTCATGCTTTAATCCCAGCACTCAGGGAAGCAGAGACAGGTGGACCCCTGTGTGTTCAAGGCCAGCCTGGTGTACAAAGCAAGCCCAGAACAGTCAAGGCTACACAGAGAAACCCTGTCTCAACCCCAACCCACCCCAAAAAAAACCAAAACAACAACAACAAAAAACATCATCAGCTGGGTGGTAGTCGCCCACATTTTAATGCACTTGGGAGGCAGAGGCAGGCAGATCTCACTGAGTTCGAGACCAGCCTGGCCTGTAGAATGGTTTCCAAGACAGCAAGGCTACACAGAGAAACCCTGTCTTGGAAAACAAAACAAACACAGAAAAAATCCTCATCAGCAAGAAACCCTGCTGGAATAAACCTAAACAAGGAAGCAATACAGAAAAAGGTAAAGAGTGAAGAAAAAATGTTAAGACAGTGCTACAAGATGTGAGACTTCATGTTTATGGGCTGGCAGAATTAGTGCTGTGAAGACAGACCTGCTAGCATTAGATTCCATCCAATCTCTGTCAAAATTCTAGAAAAATTCTTCACAAATTTCTAGAAAAAGCATCTGAAAGAATGACTGAAAATTAAAGAGACTTTGAACAAATAACAACATCCTGGAGCATGCGGAGATGCAAGTCAATGGAACAGAGGACTGAGATATAAATCCGTGTGGCTGCAGCGACCTAATTTTAACAGATGCTACAGACATATTACGGAGAAAGACTCTTATACCACAAGCAGGTACTGCTTAACCAGATAGCTACAGAGAAGGTAGAAAGGCTTACCCTGCTTTTAAAACTTAACATCAGACCTTAAACTCCAAAACTGTTACAAGAACCAGAAGGAAAATAGTTCAAAGCAGATACAGGCAAATGCATTCTTTAAGATTCAGAAGAGAGACACCAAATATTGTGCCTGGCCTGGAAGCTGGAGGGGCCCAGGGAGAGTCCAGTCCGTCCCTGCTTCCTTTCGATCTGGAAGGACCACGGCGTTTTGCTCTGTGTCTGTGTCTGTGTGCCTCTGTCTGTCTGTCTCTCTCGCTTTCTCACACACAAATAGCAAGAATTCCAAGAACCCCTAAAACAAGAGCTGATCAAATAACTAAATAGAATTCTAAGCCGAGAGCTCCGAGTACTCAGTAAACGTATGAAAGTTAATCCCTCCACATATCAAGTCCCAAAAATTCAAATTACTTTACATTGTGGTGTTCTATATTTACCAACACAGTTTTATGTACTTCTTCTGCCCAGTTTATTATACATAAAACAGGATGCCAAAGGCCTAGAAAGTTTAATTAACTTTAATTAATTAATTAATTAAGTTTAATTAATTAACAACCTTTATTTTGATTTTTGCTTTCTGTTCTTGTTTTGGTTTTTTTGAGAGACGGTTTCTCCCTGTACCTTGGCTGTCCTGGAGCTCACTCTGTAGACCAGATTACCCTCAAACTCTGAGATCCTCCTGCCTCTGCCTCCTTCTGGGATTAAAGGCATGCGCCACCACTGTCCACGAAAACTGAATTCTAACCCTGTTTTTATTCCCATCTCATAAATAGTTTAATATTTGCATACCACTTCACTTTTTTTTAAAGATTTATTTCTTTTATGCATATGAGTGCTCTACTGCATGTACACCTGCACGCCAGAAGAGGGCATCAGCTCACTTTAGAGATGGTTGTGAGCCACCATGTGGTTGCTGGGAATTAAACTCAGGACCTTTGGAAGAACAGCCAGTGCTCTTAACCATTGAGCCATGTCTCCAGCCCACCACTTCACTTTTTTTCCACCAAAGAATCCACACCAGGCATTGCCACAGTAAGTTTTTCCATAACAGTGTGGAGAACAAAGGGTCCCTCTATACCGTGTGCTGAATTCTAAAAGTTCCTAATCTACTACGCTGACATGTGAAAGATATATGAAAAGCACAGTGTAATACATACTTTTTGAGAATTGCCATCTTGTTTGAAACAATGGTGCTTATGTCTGTCCATTGTTAAGCATCTGCTAGAAGCCTCACATATACATATGTGTACTTTTACAGTCATAAAGGACATAGCAGATTTTAAAACTGAATGCACTCAACTGAAATAAGAAAGATAACTGACTTCCAAGGGTCTGCCTTATGAGATAAGCAATTTGTTTAACAATGACACTGGGAAAACAAGCTAAAGATCAAGAATAAATAGCATACACTCTTAAAGCCTAATCCCATGCTGGGACCAATACAGTGAATTACACTTTCTGCTATAATGATTAGGGGCAGCCTTAATGACGCAGTGTGAAGACGACCATGCATACAAATACACAAAGCCAGCAAACACTACACAGCCCATTACAGCCAAATGAATGATTTATTACAAAATACACATGGTTGGATGTTTTTAACAAATGTTACACTAAGCAATTAAGGCAACTTAACAATGGAGGTGAAGGGTTAATGTTCACCAGTTTGGATGTATTAAATACACATCTTGTTCATTTTTTTTTATTTACCATGGTTTACTAGTATGCAGTTTTATGGAATCTAAGAAGCACTGGTATTAATGGGAAACAGAGCTCTATATTTTAATGAAATACTGAGTAGACAGCAAGCAACACAGTGAAAAGCAAGTCTACACAATTGTGTCAATGCTTGGAAAAGGGACACTTGAAAAGAAGGTAATCCTCGATAACTAGGAGAGATTAAAAACAGTCACATCTTGGACATCTGCTTGAAAATTCAAATAAAATTTGAATCATGAAAATGAACAAAACTGCCACCTTTTAAAAATGAGAATAACTAATATTCGTGAATTATTTCTTCCTCTCTATATCACAACTTTTCAGGAAGGACAATAATTACAGTTACAAAAGTAGGAACTATATTGAACCACAAAGTACTTTCAGCAAATAGAAACACCAAGCAAATAGAAACTACATTAAAATGTAATCAATTCCTTTAAAACAAGTATCAAACAGCGTAGAAATTGTATCTAATAAGAAATAGCACCACCATTGACCTTACTTGAAAGGATTCACTACGATTCATTCCTCTTTATTGGGATAAATGATACTGTCTCACTCATTTTTGACCAATGAACCACTTATATCAGCATGGTATACTTCTTGTAATAAAAGTTGTAAAAAAAAAAAAAAAAACAAACTTGTAATAAAAGTTGAGCAGCATAAGCATAAAGTGTAGTTTACACGTTAAAAACCAGTTCCAAACTGCTGAACATGACAACGGGTTTTAACTTATAAAGACATACAATTTAAAACCATGTTGACTATGAAAGGGTAACTGAAGATCCCTTCTCAGTAAATGAGGAAGTTAACATTCTTTAATATACCTATTAGAAAAGTTAACGAACATAAAAGAAAAAATGTATTAAAAAATTCCGTGGTGGCACACACACCTGTAATGCCAGCACTTGTGAGGCAGAGAGCAGGCGGGTCTCTGCAAACGCAAGGCCAGCCCGGTCTCCGTAGTTCCTGGAGAGACAATTCCTGGAGAGACTGTCCCACAAAACAAAAGACAATAACAGTACAAAATCCTATTTGGGGCTCGAGACAAGACTCAGTGAGCAAAAGTGCTTGTGGAGGAAGCCAGGCAGGGAAGCGATTCTTGAATATTGCTCACTAAACTCCATACCTGTGCTATGCCATACATACATACATACAAAATAAATAATAAAACATCAAAAACTTATTGGACGAAAGTACACATTACAGCTACAAAATATAAAATCTATGTAAGAATGTTACTCTGAGAAAAATCCAAGTATGCATCTAAACACGAGGAAACTGCCAAGCAATTAATAATAGTATTTTTAAAAGTGCCATAAAATAACAGCCAGAAAAATACTAAAACAAATACACAGTTTCAACTTCATAGGAAACATGATTACTCAAAATGTACATAAATATTAAGCATACTGGATTATTACAAATGCATCTGAATTCAACGAATTCAATATAGCTTTCTACTAAAAGAAACTGTATTGATTTAAAAACAGCAGCCATTCAATCGTAATTCAATTAATTTACCAAACAGACTTTGATCATCAAAATTCAAGTCGTTTCTTTATACAGTTGCTACTGTTGTTCCGTGCAGAGTATTTATTGTCATTTTTAGTGTATTTCAGGTTTTCAGTAATATTCTACCAAAAAATCGCTTCTGGTTCATCACATTTCTTGCTTATACCATATTCAACTACATGAGAAAATTTAACAACTCTTATTTGAAACATACAATTTTCTTTTTCTTGTCATAATGACAATTTCATTTGGTTAGAAATGGTTCTTCTTAAATCTCACACCATGTAGCCTAAGGTTTACTCAATATTGTTGTCCTCTAAACCTCCATAGCCCTGGTGTTGGAATACAAGGCTTCATCCTATGTGTACTTACATGCGAAAGTAAAAATTACACAGTTGCTGGTCTCATATGCTCTTGGTTTTCCCCCATACTTCCTTCATTCCTTGAAGTAACAGAAGGCTGGATACAAAGACTCTCATATGATTTACACTGCTCTGAGTTCTATCCACTGGATTTCTTTTCATTGTGAGTTCGTTCATGCTGGTGAAGATAGGTAGAACACGTGAACGCTTTCCCACACTGCTTGCACACATATGGTTTCTCTCCAGTGTGGTTTCTTTCGTGGATTTGAAGGGATTTTGAAAAAGTGAAGGCTTTCCCACACTGCACGCACACATACGGTTTCTCTCCAGTGTGAATTCGTTCGTGATTGTAACAAGCCCTGTGTTGGATGAAGGCCTTCCCACACTGCTTACATGAATAAGGTTTCTCTCCAGTGTGGATTCGTTCATGTTTGTGAAGGTACGTGGAACACGTAAAGGCCTTCCCACACTGCTTACAAACATAGGGTTTCTCTCCCGTGTGAATCCGTTCATGAATGTAGCAGGCACTGGAGTAGGTGAAGGCTTTCCCGCAATGTTTACACGAGTAAGGCTTCTCTCCAGTGTGAATTCTTTCGTGGATCAGAAGCTGGGAAGAACGAATGAAGGCTTTCCCACACTGTTTACAAACGTAGTGCTTCTCTCCGGTGTGAGTCCGCTCATGATTGTTGCGGGTGGTGGGATCGCTGAAGGCTTTCCCACAATGCTTACATAAATAAGGTTTCTCCCCAGTGTGGATTCGTTCATGTTTGCGAAGGTATGAAGAGCGTCCAAATACTTTCCCACACTGCTTACATGCATAAAGTTTCTCTCGGGTATGACTTCTTTCATGTTGGAGAAGGTGGTAAGAATGAATACATGCTTTGCCACACTGTTTACATACATAAGGTCTGTCTCCAGTGTGAGTGCGCTCATGATTGTAACAGGCCCTTGGATGGATGAAAACTTTTCCACAATACTTACATGCAAAAGTCTTCTCTCTAGTATGAATTTTATAATGTTTGATAAGGTGACTGGAATTAATGAAGGCTTCTCCACACTCCTTACACACAAATGGTTTTTCTCCAGTTTGGATTCTTTCATATGACTGAACATAACAGCATGTCATGAGAGCTGTTTCAAGCTGTTTATATTCACGGAAATTATCTCCAGTATGAGTTGTCTCACAATCTCGACCAGAAGCGAGACTCCTACAGGGCTCATTAGATGGTTTATTTCCATAGGGTTTCTCTCTGGAAGGATTCTCAAGGGTAAGAAAGGACTGAGAGTGTGTAAAATCCTTCCAACACTTCCTATGCTTAAAATGCTTTCCCACACATTGCTGATCCCTATATGGTTTCTCTACACCTGGACCTCTGAGGGGCACATCTGCCTGTGAGAGACCGACGCCATCATTTTCGCACGCACTGTTTTCATGCCCTACTCCAGGAGGCTCGTACGCATTGACAGCCTGCTCTCCAGTCCTTTGGTGGGTTCCTCCATACTGAACACCATGTTCAAATTCACGGAGTCCTTCAACCACGTGAATGCTGGTAAAAATAAAAAAAAAGAATATTACTGTAGTTTTATGTCCAGCCAAAAGAGGTGCGGGAGGGTGGGTATTGTAGCCCACACTTGTTACTGCATAGTCTTCTTAGTTTCTCTAACGTCTCTGCCCTCTCCTAAAATAATACACATAAATTTACAAGAAGAACGTGAGAAAACACTACAGATACACAGTGATTTGTTTAGCTTATTTCACGCTTAATTCTTTAAGTTTTTCCATTTCATGTTGGCTTATATTTGACAAACATAGTCCTTTCCAAAGGCACCAAAGTTGAATATTCTTTATGCAAAATGGTGTGCATCAGGCTTTATGGAATTGGGATAGCTAAATATTTTAATGCAATTTATTGAAGGTGGATCACAAAATATCCCAAGCACACACATATATTTTATAGTCAAAGTTTAAAGGTAACTCGATAAAAGCATATTAAATAATTTTGTACGGAAAGACTTTGTACGCCACAGAACTGGGAAAACGCAGAGGTGCATGACACTGCAACACTGCAGTACAGAGTTGTGACCCTGTGACTTTAAATGTTTGCGTTCAATGACGTTTTAAAATAAATCAATTTACATTTAGCTGTAAATTTGGATTATTTACTTGGGCCTCACTTTCTATCACTTTAAAGTATGTGATGTAAATTCCTTTTTCTTTGAATGTCAGTTACCTCAGATTTCTCCTCACATTTTGGTAATCCTCAATGTTTTCTTCCTCAGTTCTCCCTGGAAGGTAAAGCCAAAGAAAGTATCATTCAGCAGTACATAAAAAGCACTACATTCTATGCCCTCCCACCAGAATGGAACAAGGCATATAATGTTCACCAACATCTTTCAATATTTCAAATTATGCAACTACACAGATGAGCAAGAAACAGTTACTTTTCTGAATGAACAAAGAAAAGTACCATGCTGTATTTTTTTACCTATGGAGATCAGGTTGCTAAAGGTCTCCTTCATCACATCTCTGTAGAGCTCCTTTTGATAAGAATCCAACAAAGCCCACTCTCCTAAGGTGAAGTTCACAGCCACATCCTCAAAGGTCACTGGCTCCTAAAATGATCCACAGATATTTACAAAACTAATGGTGAAAAAACACTGGAAACTTAGAGTGACTAGATTCCTTCACTTCATGCTTTCTTCTTCGTATATTGCCTATACGTTATGGTTGGCATCACTTTTTTGCAACTTAGCATAGCAAATACACATTTACTATTCATTCTAACTCTCACACTGCCACACAATCCTGATGCTCGTATGGAACTATATGATGAATGAACACCAGAACATGACCGTCTGTTGGGATGCCGGCCTCAATACTCTCTGCACACTGCATCTTTATTAATCTGGAATCCACCTCTAGGGAGCCTGCATAGCTATTAGAAATGTCTATTTGTTAACAGTAGTTAATTATGAAGGCTTGAACAGTCACTGGGATAGAAACAATCAGCTTAAAGTGTAAAGGAAGAAATCGCTAGCGTGCAACACTTTGTAACCACAATAGGGTACTTTAAATACTCCCAGCACCTTTCCAGCTTCTTGCCCATTTCTAACATACGAAGAGATTTTCTCTAATCAAAACCCCAATGAAATCTGGATGAATTCTTTCTTATCAAGACTGTGACTGTTCCAAGCATAGCAGTGCATACTTTTAATCCCAATACTCAGGAGGCAGAGGCAGGTGGATCTTTCTGAATTTGAGCTCAGCCTGACCTAATATCAAATTCTAGATCAGGCAGAGCTAGGCAGTAAATCCTTGACTCAAGAAAAAGAAAAGAAAAAAGAAGAGAAAGGGGGACTGTGAATGCTGAATGTCAGCCTCAAACAGAACATTTTTTTTTTAATTTTTTAATCAGTGTCCCCCATGCTCGGGGAACATCACAGAGGAGGAAAGAAAATGATGACATATGGATACAATATGGCTATTGCATTTGTGAATTCACAGGAGCTATTCACACCAGCCAAAATTCTGGCATAAATAAGAAAATTCTCTTCACGTCTCCACCCTTACTTAGGAGCTAGCGGCAGTTGGTAGCTGCTGGGAGACAGACAATCACTCCTCTTTGGCTACTGGGAGTTTCCCATGCTCCGATGGATGGTACCATACTCATGCACATACGGGCAGTCCTGGTTGAGTTAGTAGTTTATGAGGAAGAGAAAAAGATATGAAGTTGCAAGAGAGACATCTTAGACCAGTGGTCCTCAACCTTCCTGATGCTGACCCTTTAGTACAGTTCCTCATGCTGTGGTGACCCCCAACCACCACAAAATTATTTTGTTGCTACTTCGTAACTGTAATTTTGCTAGTGTTATGGATCATAATGTAAACATCTACAATGCAGGCTGTTGAACAATCTCTGTGAAAAGGTTGCTCAACCCCCAAAGGGACTGTGGCTGACAGGCTGACAGCCCCAGCTCTGGATTATGGAGGCAGCTTTAGAATCTGGCTGTACAGTGAAACTTTTAAAAATAGCCAACTGACCTGTGGATATAAGAACAGAATTTCCTCATGAGGAAAAAAAAAAAAACCTTCTGTATAGGAAGTATGGAAATATATTAATGTATGAAAATTAAAGAAGGTGAAAGACAACAAAGCAAAAAGCTTTCAAAAGCCAACAAAATACCAAAGAATATGTGAAAATTCACATGGAAAAAAAAAAGATCGAAAAAAACATATTTTGTCAAATAAGAAACAAACAAGAAACAAGACTCAAAGCCCTGATTAAGAAAATCAATATACAAAAATAAAATTTTTGTTTTAAGGCTGTGTGTGTGTGTGCATACGCACACACTTTTGGTGGCCAGAAGAGGGTGTTGACTCTGATGTGTGACAACTGTGAACGGGATGTCTACTCACCCCTGGGAGGAAATGATGACAGACTGACATAAGGACATCACCAAAGTCTGACTTGAAAAGTCAGTGTGTTTTCTTGGGATTACTTACAGAAATCTGGGAAAGGAGAAATGAATGGAAGACCTCTGCATCGCCAGAGGCCCACCCCCAGCACGGTGATGACTCGCAGAACTGGGAAACCTGTAGAACACTGCACATGGCATACGCAGCTCAACAGTATCTTCTCTGGCATCTACTCATTTGGTTTAAGCCTCTTCCAGGCATCCCTGCTGGACTAAGGGTAGCTTTCTACAGTTTTTGCTGCTTATATAATCTTGGAGAGCAAGGGTCCTACTCAGTTTCAGGAAGTTCCTGAGGCTTTGAAGTTGTTTACTTATTTTAATTAAGTGATTCGCCTCTTTTCCGAACATGCTGGGTCTCAAAGAGCTTCCTTCCCTCAAGATGAAATGCTTTATCTCAGAGAAAATTGCTACACATCAGGATTCCCCTAAGTAAGCCACCTGATCTGAGCACTGGGATCTAACCTGTATCTTCTGCAAAAACACTATCAGCTGCTGACCTAGTGTTTCTTTTGACAACTAATGAAAAAAAAAATGAATTTATGCAAGAACAAAATTTGCAACAGTGTCATTTCCTATAATATGAACTTCATTGCAATCTACAGTCTAGGCATATTTCTCTACCGTCTACCAAATGTTTTTGTATTTGTACCTGTTACCAATGCATTATTTCTTAGCATTTATAACGTCACCTTGAAAATGTCCTAAATGGACAGGAGGTCCACAAGGAGAGCAACAGAACCAAAAAATCTGGGGTCTTTTCTGAGACTGATACTCCAACCAAGGACCATTCATGGAGATAACCTAGAACCCCCTACACAGATGTAGCCCATGGCAGCTCAGTGTCCAAGTGGGTTCCCTAGTAATGGGAGCAGACTGCCTCTGACATAAACTGATTGGTCTGCTCTTTGATCACCTTCCCCTGAGAGGGGAGCAGCCTTACCAGGCTACAGAGGAAGACAAAGCAGCCAGTCCTGAGGAGACCTGATAAGCTAGAGTCAGAGGGATGGGGAGGAGGACTTCCCCTATCAATGGACTGGGGGAGGGGCATGAGTGGCAAAGAGGGAGGGAGGATGGGGTTGGACGGGAAAGAGGGAGGGAGCTACAGGTGGGCTACAAAGGGAACAAACTGTAATTTAGAAAAAAAGAAAAAAAAAGAAAGAAAGAAAATGTCCTAAGAATAGGATGATAAACCAAGTAAGGAAACAGTTTAAATATAACTTCAGATATAAGCATATATGAAACGTTTTAAGGTAAAGAAAAACAAAGGGTGCTTTTGTTCTAAAGCAAGTTGAACATTACGATTTAAAGCTGTAGGAAGAATGCAGAGTGTGAGCGTAAGAAGACTTAAAAGATAGACGTGCTTACTGCCGAGCATGATGAGCAGAGTTCAACCCCTGGAATTCATGTTATAGGTAAGATGCAACTTCTGCAAGTTGTACTCTGACCCCACCATACACACTGTGGAATGTGCATACTCACAAACACGCATGACACGCACACACATTAATAAAGAGTTTTGTTTGTATTGCATAATACAAAGTCACATGTAGAAACCAGCACAAAAGCCATAGAAGGCCTTGATTTCAATTCCAGGAATCAGGGGGTGGAAGGAGAGAACCAACTCTCACAAACTGTCCTCTGACCTCCACACACGCACCCAATATACATACAAATAAGTAAATAAGTGAAGGTAATAACCAGGTTTTTAAGTCACATTTAGAAGACAGAAAAGCAGACAATGAAGAGTAAGGATGAATCGGGCAGGGCACCAAACGGTGACATGAGCAACTGCCTAAGGGCTAGACAGAAAGTTTACTTTTGAGGCAGCACCCTAGTGTGTAGCCCAATTTCGTGTCACATTAACCGCCTTCCTTCCTCATCCTCCTGAGCAGTCAGTGCGGACATACACAGCCGCCAGTCATTGTGACGAGAATTCGTAGAAAACTACTTCCTGATAAATCTTTTGAAGTGTGATTTCTTTTTAGAACACACAAACTACAGAAAGCAACGTGTTTCATTATGAAATTTTGAAACATACATACCACAGACGTGGGCACAAAGGTTTAGAATTCCTTCAGGAAACACATACACACCCACTTAGATGCCAAGAACTTTTGGTTCAGCCTTTTAATCATGCAAAACAGGTCTCAGTCATAATGGTTCTAATTTCTTTGCAGTCCTCCCTTACTTTCTGCTTAAAATAATCCATCAACCTTGCTTATAAGATCTGAAACTCTGTCTTTGGGTAGGTACAGTCTATGGCTGAGGTTTTGTTTCCGGTTTTTGGGGTGCCTGTTTGTTTGTTTTTAGGGTCTCACTAAGTAGCATAATTTGCTATGTGGACCTGCCCCCCTCAAACTCATTGCCTCTGATTCCAACTCTGGGACTAACGTTGGGTACAACCATACACAGCTATGGATACCATTTTTGACTATTATTTAAATTTTGTTTTATTGCCGGGGGCAGTGGCACACACCTGTGATCCCAGCACTCAGGGAGGCAGAGGCAGGTGGATCTCTGTGGGTTCAAGGCCAGCCTGCTCTACAAAGTGAGTCCAGGACAGCCAACGCTACACAGAGAAACCTTGTCTCGAAAAAACAAAGGAAAAAAAAAAGAAAAATTTTGCTTTATTGACTGGCCAGTTTTGAAATTTTGTTTACCTCTAAAGTTCTTTATCTCTAGGCTCAGGAAATGAATAAAAACAGCACTTGCTGTCGAAACATGAGGACAAAAACTGGTTGTAGTTCTAGGTATCTGTAACGTACCTCAGAATTGGGGGTGAGGGCTGGGGCAGATCTGGGGCTGAAACAGCAAGCTAAAGGTACAGAGATAGGATCTAACTGTTGGTACCAAAGAAGAGATGGCAGAAACTGACATACTCCTCTGGGCATATATACACACTCAAACACACATAAACTACATCACACACGCATACACACACACACACACACACACACACACACACGCAACCTTTTTTCTTTTGGAGAGTTATACTGCCTTCTTTTTCATATATACTGTCAAGTTCTAAATTTGCATGTGTACATTGTGATACTGTAAGGATGCAGCTGTCTGAGTCCAGCCATCTCAAGCCATCGCTTCTCCATCTTGCTGGTAGGGTCAAACTAAGTTCATATTTG